ATTGTCTTTTTTGTGAAGATACATCTGATAAAAATCGAGTGTCATGTATTAAATGTCAACCTGGATATTCTATTAATAAAGATAAAACTACATGTGTATTATCAAAAACTAATATAATACTTATTTTTAGTATTAGTTGTATAGTAATAGTGTTCTCTTTATTAATAATTATATTCATTATTTCTTATGTAATTTCATTAAAACGTGAGAAATTATCAAAGAGAATTAAAAATAAACGAAAGACTGTAAACAAAGAATTACTAAAAGTGTATTTAAATTAAGTTGATAAAGTTTGAAAAGATATTAATTCAAAAGAAATGAATAAATGAAAAACACACTTTTCAATAGTATGAAATAATAAAGAATAAAAGAATAGAGAATGAATAAACATTCTTAAAGTACAAGATGTAAATATTCAAAGGTAAGCAAAAAAAAAAAATAATAGAAAATAAGTGTAATATCATTGAATTAACTACTTTTTAATATCAGTGTTAATTAATTTTTTTTTCATTGAGTTAATTTATCAAGTAATATTAAAAAATACATGTTATTGATTATTTTTTTTTATTAATTTCATAGTATTGTTTATTTAAAGAAAACATTTACCAACTTATTTTTTTTTATAACTTCTAGTATATTTATTAATTTTTATAAAAATAATAGTATTATCTAACACTCATTAATTTTTTTTATTAAAGAGTTTTGTTAGCTGTCAGTTAGTTGAATCTTCAAAGTAATATATCTATCAAATTTCCTTTCAAAAAAGGAAAAATCTATTTCGTTTATTATTTTTATGTTTTTAACATTCTTAATTTTATAAAATTTCGTTAAATTAAAAAAAATAATAAAAACTTTTTTTATGTTTTAAATCAGTTAGAAATTTTATCGTTGTTATAAAAATATTTTTGCGAACGAAATCAAACGATTATTAATTATTTACATAAGAAAATAGTTTTTTTTTTAGCATTTTATTTATATCTATTAATTATTTACTTTACGAAATAAATAAAAAAAAACATATATAGAAAAATGTAGTTCAAATAAAATTGAAATGGTTTGTTATAGTGAAAATAATTATTAGTAGAAAACTAAGAAGAAACAACAAAATTTACTAAAATAAAAAGAAGAAAAGATTAAAAAAGGAAAAAATGAAGAATAATAAACAGAAATGATAAATAAGTTTTTATAATACAAAATGAATAAAAAAAAATTAAAAATTAAAAAAAAAACAACCCTTAAAATGAAAATTTAATAAAAATGTAATAGAACTTTTAAAAAATTATAATCAAATGAATCCACCTTATACTAATCCTTTTGGATATTCTGCAGTAAATTATGGTACACTAAGTCCTACATATCATCAACAATCATTACAACAACTTCAGCCGATTTCTTCAAATCAATCAGAAACATATCCTGATTATCATATTTCTCAACATAAAACACAACAAGATTCTCGAGCATTTACACATCGCTTTATAACGTCTTCTCCTAATATTTATACATCGCCAGTGAGATATGCAAAATTATCATCAGAAAATGAACCTTCACCATTTCCTTTTTCAGTTGATAGAACTAGACATTCATCTATGTCTTCTCCTCAACAACAATATTATTATCAAAGAATGTCACCACCTCCTCCAATAATGACAGTACGAAGAGACCCAATGGATTATGTGTCAGACCAACGGTCATTATATGTAAATAGAGATAATATAAGACCAATTTCTCCAGACCCTTATTTCCCTTATTCATCATTCGAAAGAACAATTTATAAACAACGAGTTGACTCACCTGATTTCTCAATAAAACAAGAATATGATATATATCCATATCAATCATCAAAACCTATACGAACAAATATGTCAGAAGATAACGAACCTAGATGTTTTTCTGTTCCTATTAAAAGTGTTCAAAAAGTTATTCAAGAAAAAGAATTTCTCGTCACAGAAGAATATACAGGTAAAAGAGAATTTGACACGATGAATGAAGCAATCAATGTATTAACTTCTTGGGCTGAAACACAACATGTTGTATTGAGGAAAGGAAGTGGTAACAATAAAACAATGAAGGATGGAACAAAAAAGAAAATTGTTTTAGTGTGTCAGTGCAGTGGTAAATATAGAAGTTGTTCATATTCTCCAAGAGGTGCTTCTTCTGCTTCTAATTCAAGTTGTGAAGAAGGACAACCAACAAATTCTACTCCACAACGAACTGTCAAAAAAAGAAGGTCAAAGAAAACTGAATGTCCTTTTAGAATTAATTTAAATTATAGAGCAAATACTAACACATGGAATATTACTAAAATGATACTTGAACATAACCATGAATGACAGATGTATTTCTTATTATTGTAAATCCATTTATTTCTTTTTCATTGATTCTTCTCTTACTTGTCTTATTTTTACTCTATTTTTTGTCTTTATTTGGAAAAGTCAGAAATTTAAAATTTTTTATAAATTTATTCTTTTCATATAAATGTTTTGAGAGAAAATAATAACAAAATCTTTATTAAGATTATTTTTTGATAATAAATAATTTAATAATAGTAATGGGAGTTAAATAATAATAATTATTAATTGAAAGGATAATCTCATAATTATTAATAAAAAGGAATGAGTGAAGACAATGAACAATCTGGATCTTTGTCAAGTAATCAATCTCAAGAACTTTCTAGTCAAGAATCAAAAAGTTCTTCTGAGGAGTTTGGAGGATTGGAACTGTTTAATAGTGATGAGTTTGATCCAAATGACTATGATGATTATGAACTTACAGTTATTTATCATAATACAATCTGTGATCTTTTTGAACAAATGAAAGAGTTCAAAACTATGTATGATGAAAAACTTAAAAACTACCAAGAAATGTTAAGACACTCTACTCAAAATGAAACTAAATTAAAGCAACACGTTAGTCAGGCACAAGAAATTATTAAAGAACTTAAAGAGGGATATGACAAAAGTTCAAAAAGTTTCAATGAAATTACTGAAGCATATCAAAATGAACAAATTGCTCATAATAAAACATTACAAGAATTAAATGAATTGAAACTAGCACAAAAAACTATGTGCAGTAATATGACAGTGTGTGCAGCAGTAGAAATTGTTATAAAAAATGGTAAAGTTACTGGTCTTAATATGAAAGAAAGCTTAGATGCCACAAGAGATGATGCAATGATGCAATTAAATTTAATGACTCGTAAAGTAGATGAGCTAAGAAGAGAGTTAACTGCAACAAAAGTAGAAACAACTAAAAGTAATGAAGAAGTTGAAAAAGAAAGAAAAAATTCTCAAGAGCTTATGCGAAAAATTGAATTAATGAAGACTGAAAGTATTAATTTACAAAATGATATTAAATTAAAAGATAATGAAATAGAAGAACTTAAGAAAAAGATAGAAGAAGATAATTCTCTTCAAAAAAAAATTACATCAAGTAGAGAACAAAAAATACGATCTATTATTGAAAAAAAGAAATCTCTTAGAACTAATAGAAGATTGGATAGACCACAATTAATTTCTAGTATAATTAGTGATATTGTAAAAACAGATGATAAAACAATACAAAATACTACAGAAGGATTTGACAACCCACTTGCTTCTAAACAAATTCAAACATCAAATAGAAATGCTTTTACTCCAATAATTGAAAAAAGTGATTCATTATCAACTGTTCTAAATGATACAAATAATGGTCTATTTTCTAAATCAAGTAGTTCATGTATTAACCCATTAAGTGCTTTAAGTAGTAATACCTCTTCTGGAACTTATTCATCAACACTCCATCCTCCACTTAATTCATTATTATCTCAAACAGATAGTAAATCAAAAATATTTAAAGGAAAGAAGTCTTCATCAAAATTATTAAGTGGTGTTTTAGACTCAACAAATAGTGATATAATATTAAGTGATAGAAATATAAGTGATGTAGGAATAATAGAAGATGGGATTGTTATTGTTTATACTACACAAGAAGGAAGTCAAGAAGTGTCATTACTCAAACATAAAACATTCGTACCTGAATTTTCCTTAGACATTGATGTAAAATATTCAACACAAACTTCATTTGGATTTTGTGTTGCTAGTAATAATAGTATTGTTTTACTTTCAAGAGTTAATAAAACATATGAAATTAAAGGAATTACAAATATTGGACAGAGTCAAAAGGGAATATTGGTATTAAATGAATCTGGAGAATTAACTGAAATAGTAGATGATAATAAAAAATTGATTGGTACATTACCATGTAAAGTTGATGGTAATATATTTATGGTTGATGACCTTATTATATTCAAAGATAAAGAAGATAGGCTAGTTACTTATCTACCTAAATTAAAGAATATTTGTTATTGTGATCATTTTGTCAAACAAGTTATTGTAGTAAATCACTTGATTTATTCAATTGATAAAGAAAATCCGAATAAAATATATATTTATAACCTTAACCTTACAATGAAATTAAATAAATTAATACAAAACAATATTAAACGTATTTGTAATTTTGGTGAATTTATTGTTGCTGTTTGTGCTAATTCTGCTTTTGTTGTTAATGAAAAAACAGTTAAACCCTTAATTAGTCTTTCTTATGAAATTCCAATTATTACCATTACATTTAGTATATACGATAAAAAAGTTTATCTAATTGTAGTTACAAATAACCAACTTTTAAAAATACAAACTGATCTTCACGTTCATGAACTTAAAGAGTACAAAGACAATAAACATAATCCTCAATGCAGTCTTTGCTCTAAACCTATGAAAAAAGGAAAAAAATGTAAAAGATGTGGTATTTGCTTTGACGTTGAATGTGCTAAAACATATGCCGGTCAGATGGAGTCTTGGTTTATTCCTTGTCTAGAACAAAATTAATTCAATTTCTTTCTTTTTATTGTGTTATGAAAATTAACACAAAAGAACTATTAAATGAAAGAGCATTGAAAGAAAAATAAAAAAAGAGTAGTTGGAAGGGTTTGGAATGAGAACTGTTTATTAATAAAAGCCATAATGACTGAAGAGAATAATGCTGTTCCTATTGTTAATGAAGAAATAACCGAAGAAAAAAAATTGGAAACAATCCAAAATACTGATGAACAAATAATCGACGAGAAAAAGGATGAACAAAAATCTGAAAACGCAACAGAAGAAAAAAAAGAAATTAACGAAGAAACTAAAACTTGTGAGAGTGATGAAAGTACAACAAAGACTGAAGAAGTAATATCGAGTGAAAAGAAAGAGGAAGAAGAGAAAGAGGCAGAAGAGAAAGCAAGACAAGAAGCAGAGGAGAAAGCAAGACAAGAAGCAGAGGAGAAAGCAAGACAAGAAGCAGAGGAGAAAGCAAGACAAGAAGCAGAGGAGAAAGCAAGACAAGAAGCAGAGGAGAAAGCTAGACAAGAGGCAGAAGAGAAAGCTAGACAAGAAGCAGAAGAGAAAGCTAGACAAGAAGCAGAGGAGAAAGCAAGACAAGAAGCAGAGGAGAAAGCAAGACAAGAAGCAGAGGAGAAAGCAAGACAAGAAGCAGAGGAGAAAGCAAGACAAGAAGCAGAGGAGAAAGCAAGACAAGAAGCAGAGGAGAAAGCAAGACAAGAAGCAGAGGAGAAAGCAAGACAAGAAGCAGAGGAGAAAGCTAGACAAGAGGCAGAAGAGAAAGCTAGACAAGAAGCAGAAGAGAAAGCTAGACAAGAAGCAGAAGAGAAAGCAAGACAAGAAGCTGAAGAGAAAGCTAGACAAGAAGCAGAGGAGAAAGCAAGACAAGAAGCAGAGGAGAAAGCTAGACAAGAAGCAGAGGAAAAGGCTAGACAAGAAGCAGAAGAGAAAGCTAGACAAGAAGCAGAGGAGAAAGCTAGACAAGAGGCAGAAGAAAAGGCAAGACAAGAAGCAGAGGAAAAGGCTAGACAAGAAGCAGAAGAGAAAGCTAGACAAGAAGCAGAGGAGAAAGCTAGACAAGAGGCAGAAGAAAAGGCTAGACAAGAAGCAGAGGAAAAGGCTAGACAAGAAGCAGAAGAGAAAGCTAGACAAGAAGCAGAAGAGAAAGCTAGACAAGAAGCAGAGGAGAAAGCTAGACAAGAGGCAGAAGAGAAAGCTAGACAAGAGGCAGAAGAGAAAGCTAGACAAGAAGCAGAAGAGAAAGCTAGACAAGAAGCAGAAGAGAAAGCTAGACAAGAAGCAGAAGAGAAAGCTAGACAAGAAGCAGAAGAGAAAGCTAGACAAGAAGCAGAGGAAAAGGCTAGACAAGAAGCAGAAGAGAAAGCTAGACAAGAAGCAGAGGAGAAAGCTAGACAAGAGGCAGAAGAAAAGGCAAGACAAGAAGCTGAAGAGAAAGCTAGACAAGAAGCAGAGGAGAAAGCTAGACAAGAGGCAGAGGAGAAAGCTAGACAAGAAGCAGAAGAGAAAGCTAGACAAGAAGCAGAGGAAAAGGCTAGACAAGAAGCAGAAGAGAAAGCTAGACAAGAGGCAGAAGAAAAGGCTAGACAAGAAGCAGAGGAGAAAGCTAGATTAGAGGCAGAAGAGAAAGCTAGATTAGAGGCAGAAGAGAAAGCTAGATTAGAGGCAGAAGAGAAAGCAAAGAAAGAAGCTGAAGTTGCTATTACCACATCAGCTTCTAGTGTTCCTATTAAAGAAGAAAAAGCTGACACTGCAATTAATGTTGGAGAAAACTTGAATGAGCAAATGAAAATGAAACTTATTATGATTGGAGAGTCTTCAGTTGGAAAGACATGTTGTATGAATAGATTTGTAAGTGATCAATTTAGCGAAGTAACAAAGTCAACAGTTGGAGTAGGAATGGTTTCAAAAGAAATGGAAGTTAATGGAATCAAAGTTAAGCTTCAAATCTGGGATACTGCTGGACAAGAAAGATTTGCTACACTAAGCAGTAATTATTTCAGAAACGCCATGGGAGGAGTTATCATGTTTGATGTCAGCAATAGACAGTCCTTTGAAAACGTTTCCAATTGGATTGATGCATGTAATAAAATTGAAGAAAAAAGAGTTTTAGTGTTAGCTGGAAATAAAACTGATTTAGATGAACGTGTTATTACCAAAGAGGAAGGAGAGGCACGAGCCAAAGAATTTGGGTTGAAATATTTTGAAGTATCTGCTAAAACAGGGGTTGGAATAAATGAGATGTTTGAGACATTAACAAAAGAAATTGTTGCTTTACCAAAAGCTGAGGCACAAAATAATAATGAAGAAGTTTCCATTAACTTAGCGTCAGTTGACAAAGAAACCTCAAAGAAAGGTAAAGGAGGGTGTTGCTAAATTAATTTTATTTTAATGGAGTAAAGAAAATTATTTTGTTAGTTTTGTTAAGTTAGAATAAAAAAGTTTTTTTGTTATAACTTAGAATTTTTTTTGTTAAATCACTGAGATTAATGAATTTAATTAAGTGGTTAAACCTTATAATAGGAATAATATGAACATTCCAACTTCAGTAATAAATAAAACAATATGAATTATAATACAATAGAAAAACAACGGTAAAATAATTTATTGATAATTGTTATAGTTCAAAAAATTTAATTTATTAATATTTATAAATAATAACAACAATAAAATCATAAAACTATGTTTTTAATTAAGAAATTTAAAAAAGAATAGTTAGACATATTGAGTCTTAAAAACAATTTAAATGTTATTATTAACATTAAATCTTCTTTTTTTCAGTTTTGACTATTAAGAAGAGAGATGTTTGGTTCTCGGTATAATACTGGTAAAGTTAGATTTAATACTCCTAAAGTAAAAAAAAGTACTAAAAGGCGTGTTAATGGAAGAGCTCATTTAAGAAAATTATATAATCAAAGACAAGTATTATTTAATGATGATCCATTTTTTGAATTTAATAAAAATATTAAATGAAACAGTGTCTAATTAATTAATTGATAATTAATAATTCACTCACTACAAACTTTTATTTTTCATTAAACAACAAAAGTTTCATTCCAAAATACTATTTTTTATATAAAAAATAATATTTTGAAAGATTCATTCAATATTAATAAGTAAATCTAATTAAGTTAAATAGCAATAAGTTTTAGTTAACAATAACATAACTTTATTACTCATTTATTTTCTTGAGTCAAACTTAAAATTAGTTTTATTATTATTATTATTTTAATGAGATAAATGAATTGATGAAAATATGAAGCTCTTTATTTGGTGTTTTCATAATGACTTAACTTAATTTAAAGATGGTATTTTTAGTTTCATCAGTTTTCTTCTCTTTTAATTTATTTCCTTATCTTAGAATGTTTTATATAACAATAATATGAAAATAACAAATCAATTTATTTGCATTTTGTTTGCATGAAGGCATTCTTAATCATAGCATGATTCTTATCCATTGATTTGTAATGTTTTTCAAAATGATATAAACTAGATTTTACTGCTTTAGAAACTTTCTTATGAGCAACAGTAGATATATGTTTTCGTAATTGAATAACACGTTCTAATTTAGATTGAACTCTTCTGGCTTTGTGATTAAATCTTCTCATTATCTTTTTGCATAATTTGTGGAATTTTTGACATCTTCTCATATTAAAAACTTTTCTTGATTGACTTTTAAATTGTTGATAGAATTCTCTTGGTTTATTTCTGTATTGTCTTCTTAAATCTTTCATTAATTGTCTTAAATGTCTTCTAACAGTTTTTCCTGCAACTCTTCTTTGTCTTCTTAATCTCTTTCTTTGGGTTCTTCTAATTTTTCTAATTGAACGAATTTGTTCAGCCAATGCTCTACGGATTTCAGCGGCTTGTTTTCTTAATACAACTAATTGTTTCATCATTCCTCTCTTTTCATTAATTGGTTTATTTGCCATTGTTCTTTCAATTTTTCGAATCATTTTAACTGTTTGTTTCAATTGGGTGTATAAAGCTCTAACATTATTTTGATGTTTACGACTGTATTTTTCAAACCATCTACCATTAATAAAACGATGGACTCTATGATTTACAAAACGGTCTTCTGCATTAACAGCAAGTAATACACAAAAAATTAATAACACCTTCATCTTAACTATAAAAATATATTTTTTTTTAGTTTTAAGTTCTTTTTTATTTTTTTTTTAGAATTTGTATTTCTTGATTTTTCTTGTTTTTTTTATATTTCTTTTTTTTTTTTTATTGATTTTTCTGAAAATTTTTGTGATTCTTGCAAAAAATTTAAATTCTTTTGATTTTTTCTTTTTTTAAGGGTTTTTAGAAAAAGAATAAAGAAGAGGAAAAAAAGATAGACTTTTCTTATCTAGAACTTTTTAAGATTAATGAGTAGTGAAATAACAAAGGAAAGATTTTTTCATAAAATCAATGAAGAGATTGGTGTTGCAAAAATTGTTGTTGAAATAGGAGGACTTTTATTAGGACTTGAGAAACAACAGAATGGAAATGGGGTTCAAATAATATCAGATATTATTAATTTTTATCAAACGAATGGAGCAACAGTATTAACTGAACTTATTAACAAGTCGCTTAAAAAGTTAGAAAGTGAAAGTTATGAAGATAGTATAGAAGAATTAAAATCTAAGTTATATTCCAAATTTTCAGGAGAGTTTCCATTTAATAAGTCTATTGAACATAATATCAAATTAAGAAAAGCATTTGATAAACTTTATAAAAATCTTATTTCACAAGAAATACAAAATACTAGTGTTGGACTAAATCAAAAAGAATACCAGACATTAAAAGAAAAATATAATAATGCTATTAAACAAATAAATCAATATAAATTTGATATTATTGAAATTAAAAATATTATTGACGGTAAAGATAAGTCTACTACTTCTTTCAATCAAATTAATAATAATCCTGAAATGTTTTATGATTTAAAAGAGGATATTGAAAAAATTAAAGAGTTTTGTAGTCAAGCTACTACATTAGAAAAACAAGAGTCATTTGAAACACCATCAATTTCCACTCCACCACTAAACATTCCTCAAGACAGAAGAAGTTATATTCCTGATGATGAAGACGAAGATGAATTAAAAGAACTTGAAGGGTATGATCCAAACATCACAGTTGATGAGGCTAAGAGAATGAATTTAATTAAAGATATTAAAGAAATTAAAGCAACTTTAGAAGCTAGTTTAGCCTCAAACCAAATGATTCAAAATAAAATTTCACAAGAACAAAAAGAGATTAGAAAAATTAAGGGGGTAGGAGAAGATAAAAAAACACCTGAAGATGAAGAATTAGAAAAAGATATTTCTCAAATGAAGAAAGAATTAGAAGATAATAAACAATATACTCAGAAAGAAATTGACAATCAAACACTTATCAAAACTAGTATGGATAGTGTAGAAAAATGGGACATTAGCAAACTTCATGAATATCAAAATTCACTTGTTCAAGAATATTCTAGGTCTCTTATCCGACATAATTTCTTATATGGTAAAGAAAGGTTAATGACATCTATAATTGAAGGTAAAAGTAATAGTGATGAATGGAAGAAAAGTATTGAGTTGGTTATTAAGAACGCTGATTATCATTATCTAGTAAATGAAATGAATGAAATTAAAAAAAGTATAGAAGGTGGTATCACTGAAAAAAGAGAAAGTATTAAAATGCAAGAACGTGCAAATGAAAGAAAAAAAGCTATTTCAAGTGGAAGAAGAAGTGTTAGTACTATTCAAGAAGATGCGTGCGATGATATTAAGAAGCAAGTTGAAGAGAAAAGAAATACAATTGAAGATATGTTAAATAAATATGATGAGAAATTAAGTTCAATAAAGAAAAGAGAAAAAGAATTAATGGATAATGCTGTTGATGAGAATGAAGTTAATAATGTTAGTCAACTCCAAAATAAAAAAAAAGAAAGACTCACATTATGTAGACAAGAACAAAAGAAGAGTATACAAGATATGAAACTTGGAGAATTAAGATGTGAATATGAAAGACTTGAGACAATGGAAAATGAGATTCATAGAAAAGAAAAAGTTATGGAAGAATATGAAAAAGAATTAGCTAATGCTGAACAACAGAGAAACAACCATCAGAAAGAACTTCTTAGGAATAGTATTGAAAACAGAATTGATGAAGAGGAAAATAAAATTAAAAGTGAAAGAAAAGAATTAGAAGAGAGAATCCAAAAAGGTGAAGAAGATACAGAACAATATGAAAGAGATATTACATTGTTAACTATTCAATGTGACAATGAAAAAAAAAGAAAAAATGAACTTTTGGAAGAGACTATTGATTTATGGAAGAAACTAAGAGAGCGAGCAGGAATTATTAGAGATGAACAAGACAAACAAACACAAAAAGATTATGAAGAAAGTGTGAAAAGAGTAGAAGAATTGAAAAAGAGTATTGGAAGGGAATTAACTTTAAAAGAACAATGGTATAAAGTTAAATATGATTATATAAATATTCCTGTGAGTATATCAAGAATTATGGGATATAAAGAACGATGGGAAAATGAATATAATAATAAATTAGATGGTACAGGGTTATTTGTAAATGTAGAGAATGTAGAAAAATATAATGAATCTGTTAATGAAGAGAAGTTTTATGAATCTATTAAAGATGGAACTATTGACACATTAATGAAAAAGATAGTTGAAGTTCCTGATACAGAGATAAGTGAAGAAGAATATATTACATCAGAAGATGAAGATTTAGAAATTGAAGATGGAAAATTAGAAGAAGAAAAAGTTGATGTAACAACAAAACAAATGAAACACTTTGAACCATTTGATGAAGATGATGTTCAACCTTATGAAAAGAAATCATTTTCACCCATTAATTTTACTCCTACTCTTTCTCAACAATCAAGCACTATTGGAGAAGAAGTAGAAAGTACAAACCAATGGTTCCAAGCTGATCCAAATGATGCATTTGCAAAGAATAAAGAAGAATTTGTTCAACAAATGGTTTCTGTTAGAGACCAATTGGATGGACTAATTATTGAGTGTATTGGATTGATGGGAATGTATGCTGTTGATGATATGACTGAAGATCCAGAGCAAGCTAATAACAGCCATTAAAAAATATTTTGATTAAACTACTTTTTTTTTAATAGGAAGAAGGAATTTATAATTTTCAAGTATGTTAATTCTTAAAGGATTATTTAAATACTAGATTTGGTTATAAATTTATAATCTAGTTTTTATTTTTAGAACATTCTAGTTTATTGGATATATTTTCTTTATACATATTACCTAGCTTTGTTAGCAAGTAAAATTGGTTTAATATTTCTTATTGTCACTACTAACTAATTTAATAATACTATTTTATGTCATGCTATTCTTTGATACTTAACATAAAGTTTATTACACCTTAATTTAATACAAGAAAATAAAATTGCTTAATAGATCAAAACTTACCTAACAAGTTATGGCAAATAGTTGATTACTTTTTAATTCATTTGTTGTTCTAATTATTTGGTTTACCAAGTGAAGTCTAAGAACTGTTATTAATACAAAAACCTAATTACCATATTTAATTCAATTATCATTTATTCAGAATTTTTGATGTAAGGTTCAAGATGTTGCTGAAGCTTCTTGAGCATATCTTCATCAAATCCTAAATTCACAAATGCTTTCATTTTTTCAAGATACTTCCCTGTCTCTTTTTTAACGATTTCGACTTCAACAAGACCACTTCTATTTACTGTTGTTTTGTCAATTATTTTAAATTCTCCTGCTTTTAATCCAGGTGGAAGTCCTTCTATTGTTACTTTTGTAACAAGTTCCATTCCTTCTTCATTTGTTTTCTGACCTTCTCCTTTATAAATAGTGTCAACAATATCACTCTGATTATCAAATGCATTAAAATACTCTCCCTCAAAAGTAATTGGTAATTTTCTTCCTTTAGGTGCAAAAACATCATATTTATTATTAACCATTCCAAATCCAAGTGTATATGGCATTACTTGTGTTATATCATCTTCTTTATTTATTGATATTTGATATGCTCTATAAGAAGCTCCTTTCACAACACTTAGATATCCATCAGAACCAAATCCAATAATTTTCTTCTCTCCAAACATATCACAAATTGTTTTTTTAACAAGTGGAATACAACACGAACCACCTATTGGTAAAACATAATCTACATCACTTACATTCCAACGTGCACCTTTCATCACATTTTCTATACATCTTTTAATTCTTTCAATAAGCCCATCTTTCTGGCATTGTTCTTCAAATTCTTCTCTTGTGACTTCTATGGAGCCATCAAGTTCTTCAGAGATTGAATATAAATCAATTGGAGAATAACTTAAATTGCCAGAAAATGACTTTTTGACATCTTCAGCAATATTTCTTATTTGTTTCATTGCTTTTAATTTCATTTTCTTAGTTTTTTTTGTATCAGAATTCTTTACAACAAAGAGTTTGTTGAATGTACTATCATCAACACTCTCTTTGATTTTATCAAGAATGATTTTAATAAGAGAATCATCAAAATTATTTCCACCAAGATTAAGATCACTTTCATTACATATACATTCTGTTTTTATTTCATTTAGAGCATTTGGTTCTTGTTGTTTTCTAAAGTCTTTTAGTTTTAATGTTATTTCATTATTCCAATTTGGATTTATTTCAGATATATTAAATGTAAATGGTTTGTCTTGATTTAATATTCTAGAAGCAGATCTTGTTAATTTGTCAATACTCAAATAAACATCTCTTTTTAATTGTCGTGTGCTTGGCAGATCACTCATTTTTTCTGGCTCAAATAAGGCTAATTCATCTGGCTTTGTTTGTAGAGTTTCTTTTACTTTATCTAAAATACTATTTCTGATTTCTTCATCGTCTAGTTTTTCATACGTTGGCATTCCATCTCCATTTGAAAATACAACAGGCAACATCTGTTGTTCCTCCACCACAGTCAATTACAATAATTTTAGATTTATCTTTCACATGATGTTCTCTTTGATATTCCAAGATTGAAGCAAATGGTTCTTCTAATGAAGTAATATCTTCAAATCCTGCCATTTTACAAGCTTGAATTGTTTCTTTCTTTTGTTTTGGTGTAAAAGAAACAGGGACAGTAATAACTACTTTTCCTATTTTTCTATTTCCAATTCTTTTAACAAGTATATTATACAATGTTCTAAGAACCATTGCTGATACTTCAATTGGATAAAAACTTTCTTGCTTTGATGAATCAAGAGGGTCATCAACACACATTTTTATTTCATTATTGTCGGTTGAAACTTCAAATGATGTAAAAGTTGGTAATAAGTTTTTTTGTTCATTATAATGTTTAACTGTTTCTCCTATTAATCTTTTAGAGTCATGAAGACAAATACCACCATTTTTCTTTGCAATAAGACCAACATTGTACTTTTTTAATCCATCACCTCCTTTAAATATTTCAACCCATGATGGTATTGAAAATTCATTATTTGATATTTGTAGTACTTCGACTGGGTTTGTCTCATTTTCAGAATAAATAGCTATAGATGAATATGTTGTTCCTAAATCTATTCCAATATGAATAGGTACTTCTGTTAATTCTTGTAAACTCATAATGAATCATAGAGATAATCAGTTCTTTAAAAATTGGTAACAAACATCATTTAATCTATTATAAAAATTCAAGATCTTTCATTTATTATAATAATACTAATTAAATTAAAAACAAATAAAGTATTATTTGTTATTAACAGAAGCTTTATTCATTTTCTATTTTTTTGTTATATAAGAGCAGAGTGACATTGAAATGAAAAGGTATTAAGGTAAATAAACAAAGAGATATTAGAAAAGATAATGTTTGGGTAATATAATTAAACTAACACTAAAAAAGTCTAAAAAAATAGAAAAGTATTACTTAAATGAAGTGATAATGAAATTTATGTTTTGGTTTATTGAAGAATATAAAGAATAAAATAAAAAGTGAGAGTTAATATATTGTTGGTTGTTTTGAACAAAATAAATTTCATTTAACACCTTTCTTTATACTAATGAACATACTTATATAAACTATTTTTCTCTTAAATGAGAAACATGTCTAACTTATTTTTTATATTCTTCTTAATACTTCTTTGATAAAAATATACTAAACGCTCAGCAACTTATACTTGTATGACAAAAAAGTCACAAGCATGAACTAATAGAAAAAAAAGAATAGTCATAATCAATGATATATGTATCAAAAAGAAGGTATTATAACAATGACTTTTATTTATTTAATAAGAATTTTAAATAATAAATATAATAAAAAGTATCAATAATAAAATAATGATAAGT